ATCAGGTATTATCCTCTCCCACTCCTTTTGGTTCAGATCTGGTTCAGTTTATGGTTCAAGATTGATCCTTGAAAATATGATTTTCTAAATAGGGAATGCGATTCCCAGTTGAAGGGAGATAATTTTTTTTTTAAATTCGCCCCTTATTCCGCAATCTTTGGGCGTCCATAGGATGGATCTCTCATCCCTTCAGATAGCCCATCTCCAAAACTCATAAACCGTCGGAACCCAGGTGTAGCCACAATCCAACAAGTTGGCACCTTTCACTCATCTAGTATTGACAATTAGGAGACCTTACTGAAGGCCACTCACCGTTGAGCGGTCGGCATCTTTCACTCATCTGTATTGACCATGATATTGGAGAAAACGTGAAATTAATCAATTAGTGTCATAAAATGGTAATCAATCATGTGCATGTGGTATTTATCAAAATTCACAACAATTGTAAGGGCTTGATTGGTCAAAACTTTTTCATATTTCTAGCAGCATAATTTTTCCTATAGGCTCAGTTTGGAAGGAGTAGAAATACATACAAATTAATACAAAATATATAGTTTTGCACTCTATATATTTATATTTGTACTCTTTCTAAACTGAGCCAAAATATAAATATGTACAAGGTTTTGCAAATACATACAAATATGTATTTATATTTGAAAGGAAGACAAAAACAAATATGTATAATTAATATAAATACATACAAAATAATACAAAATACAAGGTTTTGTATTCTACATATTTGTATTTGTACTCTTTTCAAATTGAGCCAATATCACGGTATTTTTTTTTTCAAAGCATGAATCAAATAGTAGCTAATTGTATTTTGTTTTATAATGATGTTTTCATGACCCCACGTTAGCCATGCACGTGAAGTGAGAGATGATATTGAAGTAATGGGGCATATAATGATGTTTTATAATGATGTTTTCATGACCCCATGTTAGCCATGCACGTCAAGTGAGAGATGATATTGAAGTAATGGGGCATATAATCATGCTTTATAATGATGTTTTCATGACCCCACGTTAGCCATGCACGTGTAGTGAGAGATGATATTGAAGTAATGGGGCATACACAGCTAGGAACTGGCGTGTTAAAATGCACCTAGTATATGTTTGGCATGGATATGCTGCTGATGTGTGGGTTGGAAGTACTGTTCTTCGAGAAAATGGCGTTTTTCTTTTGTTTGGAATCGTTGCTTCTAAGTAAGATGTTTTCTGGAGTAACAACAACTTTTTCTGTTTGGTACCAATGTTGCAGAAAATGTTTTCAGCACTGATATCTATTATCCAGGGCCACATCACTGCCCTGTTGGCAGCAACGAGATGCAGCTCCAGGAAAATGCCAAAGGAGAAATAAGATGGTTTTCCCTATTCCATAAACGGGACAATTAACATTTGACTTTTGCATTAAGTATTTTGAAATTTGGATTTTAATTTAAAAATTGGATACACTTTTCAGGCATTAAAACCTTTATATAGCGGAATGTTTTGGAATCCATGCATTTATTTATTATTTATTTTTGGAGGAATTATAGAGCAGTAGCACAAAAATGGATATACATGCGATTTTAATTAAGTTTCGGAGTGCTTAAAAATACATGCTTATTCAAATAAGCACTTATTTTGGGCCGAGGCCACAACAATAAGTACTTATTTGAGAATCCTAAATTTTGGGCTTATTTTTAAATTTTTATTCAATAAGTACTTATTTCCTTTTTGGCCTATCTTGACCCACTACAACATCTTTAAAAAACTTATACATAGGGGTGTCCATGAAAAACCAAAAAACTGAAAAGTCGAACCGAACTGAGAAAACCAAACTGGAAAATGTGGTTAACCGAACCTATCAATTTGATTTCAGTTTGGTATTTTTTAAAAACCGAAGGATTGGTTCGGTTTTCGGTTAACCTACAAAAAACCAGCAGTTAACCGAACCAACTTGTATATATATTTATATGTATAATATGTCACATATTTTCTATATATTATATATAAATATGTATTCATTATATATATAAGTATATGCATATATTATGTTTATAATAATCTATTTATAAATATATTTTATATATTATATATTTTTATAATATTTATAATATATTATATATCATTTTTTATTGTTTATAATATAATATTATACATATATTTATATAATATATATTATAAATCTAAAAGACAGAAGAACCGAATCGGACAAAAACTGAAACTGATGGACTAGTTGGCCGGTGGTACTGGTTCGATTTTGATTTGAAGAAATGGAAAAACCAATAATACCGATTCGGTTTGCAAAAATTGCCTATGGTTTGGTTAACCGAACCATAGACACCCCTACCTATACAATCCCTATTTAAAATAAGTGTTTTTTCACCAAATGCTCATAATTGCTTATTAAAATAATCACTTTTTTTAAATAGTTATTCAATAAGCATTTATTTTTAAAATTAGAACTCCCAAACTTGACCTAAAACCGTATGTAATAAAGACCTAGGAGTTGGATGTTGGACGTTGAATGAGATAGCAAAGAAACCACCCATCAATCCCTTTTGAAGGCCACCCGCCGCTGATAGGTCGGCATCTGCATCTCTCGCTCATCTGTACTGGCAGTCCGGCTCCCTTGGGCGATCTTGTGTTGGTGGACTTTGGACGTTGACTCTTTGAGCTTTCTTTCTCACAATGGCTGACAAGGTAGCGACCAAGCTGAAGAAGCTGTTACTCCTAACTGTCGGCCGCCATGTACAATGTATCCGCCAGTCCAGTTAGGGTCAGCCTTATTATTCGGATATAGGGTCGGGTTAGGGTTTTGACCTTTAAATCCAATTCGGGGTTGGGCTTTGTTGATCAGATATCCCTTTATATATAAAGGTATTTTTGTAATTTGATATGATTTTTAGCCCAATAGTCTAAAAATTTAAGAATTTTTTCATGTTTTTTTTTGGTTTGAAGAAAGTGACACCTTGGAACCCATATACCAAATTTTAATTTAAATTAATTGTTTTTGAATTTTTGTAATGTATCATAGAAAATTGAAAGACTCTAGGTCCTATTGGGTGGGGAGATTAGAATAGGATGCCAGTTTTTACTATTCCTATTGGGTACCTAGCCTCCATAACCTGATGGGTCAAGGACGAAGATTGCCTTGTTAGAGTGGTAACGAGGATGGGCATTAATAAGGATTCTTAATTGAGAGCAGGGGTGTGGACTGAGATGTGGAGTGAAGTCCCCACCCTACTGCCTATGTATTAAAATATACTTAAAATATTATTTTAAATTAAATTTTTATTTTATTTTATGTAAATCAATTTTTCAAAAACAAATATTTAAATAAAATTTTAAAAATTTGGGCCCAAAGTCAAAAGAGTACCAAGGTTGGAGGGTCAGATAAGGGTGATAAGACGAACCCCCCTATTCAACCTGACCCTTGGCATTCCTACGAGAACATTGGTGCAACTTGATTCGGGTTGGGTTGAGAATTTGTTAGAACTTTGCTCTGGGCAAAATTTCTAACCCAAGCCCGGCCGGCATAGTTAAAATTCTTGATACCAGGCATCCCAACTTAAAGTCCCCGATTATAATTGTCAGTTATATATTTTAGCCTTTAAACCTACTTATATTAAATATTTATTTATAATATTTCATAGTATAAGGGGTATATGCTAATTGGGGCACGTAAAGAAGACCCGGACCATATATATATTGGGTCTTACCCGAACCATGACAGCCCTTCATGTGAAGAAAGACTCCTGATTTCCTACCGATGATAATTCTATTTACACCTATTCACGTAACATCGCAGTCACACAAGGGGAACATCTCATTCTACGTGGGTAGAGTTCTTGGGGATTGGAGATCCGGAGTCTACCAACAAAGCAAAGCAAGTTCCAAGAAACCACCGTGTCTTGGTTCTTGATCGTCAATATAAAACCTAAAATCCCCATTTGTTAATCTCATCATCCATCACTTCTTCGACTTTCGACCACTCGACAGTCGACACAGCCAGACCAGAGAGAGAGAGAAATGGACAACATCAAAGCACCACCCATGGCAGATTCCCTCGTCCTTTCATGGATGACGAGGTTTGTCCTGTACGTGGTAACTGCGGTTTCTCACTTTGCATGTCGTCCCGACGGCACCATCAATCGTCGTCTACTCACCTTCTTCGACCCAAAAGTTTTTCCTTATGGGAAGCCACTGAAAGGCGTTCGAACTGCTGACATATCGGTGGATCCCGCCCGAAACCTATGGTTTCGCCTTTTCATCCCAACGGAATCCCCCCATCACACAAGCCTCCCACTCCCAGTGATCGTCTTCTTTCACGGAGGTGGGTTCGCCTTTCAAAGCGCTGACAGCATCGGCTTCGAGATATTCTGCCGTCGGATGGCGCGGAGCATCTCCGCCATCGTCGTCTCTGTCAACTATCGCCTTTCGCCGGAACACAGATTTCCGGCACAGTATGATGATGGATTCGATGCTCTCAGGTTCCTAGACGAACAGAACTTTGATGGGTTTCCTGCAGATGCCGATCTCAAGCGGTGCTTCCTTGCAGGCGACAGCGCTGGGGCCAACTTGGCCCATCACGTAGCCTGCCGTGCCAGCAAAGCGGAGTTTCGGGAGGTGAAGGTTATAGGACTGATATCGATCGTTCCATTCTTTGGCGGAGAAGAGCGAACTGAATCAGAGATACGGCTAGTTGGGGCGCCATTGGTGTCGATGAGGATCACAGATTGGCTGTGGAAGGCATTTCTTCCGGAGGGATCGGACCGGGATCACGAGGCAGTGAATGTTTCAGGGCCTAATGCAGCAGACATAACGAGTTTCAACCATCCGGCGACTTTAGTGCTTGTGGGTGGTTTCGATCCATTGCAGGATTGGCAGAGGAGATACTACGAATGGTTGAGGAGATCAGGAAAGGAAGCTTACCTGATCGAGTATCCAAATGCGTTCCATACTTTTTATTTGTTTCCTGAATTGCCCGAATCGTCATTGTTACTTTCAGAAGTGAAGAATTTTGTTCAACATCAATCGAAGTCCAACATAAACATGAAGTGAAGACGATGATTCCTTAAAAGTATCCAACCATCCACGGCGCACGTACTTCACATTGAAAGTTTGAAACCTTGGATGGGTTTTGAGATTCCCTCTGTTTTAGAAAAGCTCCATTAATTATCAAGGCGGGATTAGTTCCCAGTCGCTAGGAATTCCAATCTGAAGACCTTACCAGCTGAGTCAACTGATACCTTCCTTAGATCATAAGTAGTGAGGAAGGAGTTTCTAATAATGTCTGTTTCTGGATTTTCCTTTAGTTTTCCTTAATATATTTGATGTTATCAGAATTCTTTATTATTGTTTTTCTTTGGTAAGAAAACAAAGATCTTTCATAATTAACCAGAGAGAAACAAAAATATAACCTGAAAAATCAAACATCATATTCCCTAAGGAGGCTAGAGACCAAGAAAGAAATGTTTTGAGCGAATGTTCGACTGCATTTCGTTACAGTAAAAGAAGTGAATGCACTCAAGTAAATGCAAACTTTTGAAGTAGAAGGATGGAAACCCGGTTCAGTTTGTAACTGTCTTGTTTGGTTGTGATGGACCGTTCCAAACATAATTTGCTAGACATTTGGCTAACTTTTAATGCAAAAATTAGAATCAAACTTTGCTCGCATTTTGAATGTAAAAAATATTGACTGGTTACTTTGACTAACTCAATCACCGGGTCATTGGTTAGACATTAAGTTATTTTATTGTTCTTTTTATATTTTTAATTAACCATCTCAAGAGGGGTGATTTGGCCCGAACTGATATGTAAGGGACATGTGGACGCGGCTTGCTAGCCAAATGACAAATCAGCACATAGTGCCACGTTAGTAGATCGGGGGACCTCGGATGCTCAGCCACTTCGGACCTGGAGCACCACGGTATCCACTTACGCCGAGGTGCCATGTAACTGAACCTAGGAGCTCGACAGTCATCTTCGAACTTCTCGGTATCACGCCGCATAACTATAGGCCTCATCCTTAACCCCGCCCGAATCGGAGGGAAACAATAAGCCTCATTAATTGGTATGTTACCCCCCTTCCAAAGCGGAACGGATCCCTACGTCACAGGCTGAGGATTCCGGGAGCATTTCACAAGACCTATGGCGGCCTAGCTATATAAGGGCATCAACCCCCAAGACTTAGGTACGCGCGATTATTTGCTCACTAGCTTATTAGCATACAAACTTTCAGCTCGCACAACCCAGTACTAACTTAAGCATTAGAGCAATTTCGCCGGTTAGCCACCCCGGGTTCTCTGATCCTCTGTCTTGCAGCTTGGTCCAGCTCGCTAGGAGCTTACAGATCGTGCACAATCAATTGGCACCATATATGGGAAATGATCAAAAGGACAACCTCACACCTCACCTTACTCTCTCTCAATGTCATCCTCAAGCAACACCGGTAAGGGCATTGACATGAACGTCACTAGGGGGCAAGATCACCAAACGTCATTACCTCAAGGCCTCTCAGTGACTATCAGGCAGTTCACCATCCCCCTGACTGCTTCAGGGATCCCCTCTTTGTTAGTGCCATACACAACTCAGCAGATAAATGACCCGTTGCCCCAAGTGAACACCACCTTTTCGGAGCCTTCTGTGATCCCTCCTGGGGTTGGGCATTCTCAGTTTGATGATTTCGTTCAGAGTGTCAAGACAATACAGATCCAAATGTACCAGATTCACCAACTCCAACAATTCCAACAATACTACTACCAGCAATATCAATAGTAGTTTCCACCCCTAGGGCCAAGCCAGCAGCAATTTCCACCGCAACAAACAGGTCAGTATCAAGGTCAGAACCATAACCAAAATCAACACAAGGCCCATTAGAATGTCCGCTGATCTCCCCATCAGGGTGAGGAAACCTCACAAGTACTGGTCCCTCCCAAGGGTCGGACCCCACCTCGGGGTAGGACGAACAGACAACACACTCCCCTAGTTTCTCAAAGGGGGAACCTGAAGGGTAGACCTGAATTCAGCCAGCCTGAGAGGAACAGTCAACAACAACTTTCATGGTCAGAGAACAATGGATCGCGACGCGATGATCGCCAGATTGGGGCCCGAGGTGCGGGATCAAGACAAGACCCTTCGGCACCCCACAACAACCAACGCCAGTCTCGAGACCAAGAAGAAGTAGTAGGAAGGAACCTTGATCCACCTCGCGATAATGTTTGGGGGCGAGAGCGGACTAGAATCGAAGTGCCTGACCATACAGAAGTCAGTAGCACCAACACCGAGCCAGTAAAGAAGCAACAACGGCGGCATCACAAGACTCATCGTTCCTTAGCTAGGAACAGCCCGCCAGTGAAGAACAACCAACCGTTGGAGCAGAGCAAGGAAAGAAAAGAGGTAAACTCGGTGGCTACACGAGCGGCTCCAGCTTTGTTGAGCTGGCCATCCTCCCTGTCAACCGATCTACTAGCGGTCCCTGACGGGTTGTCGAAGCCCTCAAAATTAATTCTAGTCCCACCTTACTATAAACTTGTAGTAATTGTGGTACCAGGTCGAATCCMACAGGGAGCCAGTAATTAATTTCTCAGCCGAATGCGCAATATAAAGAGTGGGCAATTTGAATAATTTAAAACTCTAAAATAACAAAAGAGCAATTAACAACTAACAAGGAAAATTCAGTCTTACCAAATTCTGATCCAAGGGTTCAGATTGAGTCAATTGGTCATCGATCATAGGTAAAGTCCAGCAGTCATGCAATTCAAGTATTTAACCTTGGGATTTATTAGGATAGCCATAATAAACCTCGTGTTTTCCTAATTTAGTTTACCAAACCTAGCATTCGATCAACACTTATCATTAACCGACTGGGTACAATAGCGTTCCATATCAATTAATGATAGCAATAACCTTTGTGAAAACAGTTAAACCAAAATAACAATAATTGAGATAGCTGCAATTATCGAATCTTGTTCCGTTGATTCCCCTTTGGTTAAAACATACCCATACAATGGTCAAAGGCTATCACGAACAATTGACTCATGTAGGATAATAACCTAATTGCTACTTGTACCACTATTTGTGACAATTATGGATCATCGAATCATGGATAGCAGTAGAAAGAGTAATACTAATTAATTTGTCAGACTAATCAATATTAACTTCCATAAACAATATGTGCAAGAATAAACAAATACTTGAATTAGAAGCAAGAACTTAAATTAAAAACATAACCTCATGATGACACAATTGAATCAGAAATCCCCCTTGAATCAGAAAAGAAAAGCTCATCCTCTCATGGTCGCCATCACCTTCTTGTTTTGCTTCCTAGATGGATGGACTGATCTTCTGAATTGATTGCTTGATTTCTTCTAAATTGATTGAGTGCTTGA